CCCTTTTTTTTTTTTTCTCGCGGCGTCGTATGTGGCGGGTTTTGAGACCACGGGCTCCCCATTTTTGTGGACTAGTCTATAGAGCTAATGTGAGAAACAACAACAACAACAACAACAACAACAACAACAACAACAACAACAACAACAACAACAACAACAGCAGCCAGCAGTACCCATCCTGATCCATCGAGTCAGCCCATAGCACAAGGCTCTCGCCTCGATTTGTACCGAGCGTCGACCGTCGGATCGGCGCCAAAGAGGTTGTGATCGGCCTGCTAGCCCGTGACAAAGGATGGAGAGAGAGAGAAAAAGAGAGAGAGAGAGAGAGAGAGAAATACTGGCTTTCTTTTGTACCGCGTATGGCTGTGTAGGTTGCATCAGAAACCACACCCCCTGGCCCGATTGAAAGGCTAAGCTCGATTACCGGCAGGAAAAGCATTGAAGGTGCCGAACATGAGCCGAGCATGGCCGCGTTTGAACTGGCTCGTTGGAACCGTCTGATGAAGAGCTTTCCGAAACCGTATCATTTGAATTCTGCTTCCTCTTTGACGTGGAGCAATCGAGCCTTGGAAATCGGTTCAGAGGGCGTGTATCTGATGCAACCTCAGCCTAGTGTACACTGCTGTAGCATACGATAGTGAGAGCGGTGGAGAGAGGTAGAGAGAGGAGGCGAGAGAGAGAACCATGCCCGAAACGTCTGAACGTGCCACGAAAATGCCGCTGTTAATGGTGGTGTTTGAGTACAACATGGTCCGAGCATCACCAGTGAAAATACATTTTGAAAAAATAATTTTACTGAAAATGTCTGTCCGATAGCAATCACACAGAAAGACTACCCGTTCGAGATATAACCAGAGTCGAAACGGATGTGCTGAAGTATTTTAAGTGAGTGGAGGGAAAACGGCTTGTCGAGCGCGCTCGTTGTTCAGACTACTGAACATAATCTTGATGTCTTTTCACCCTTGGAAAATCCCCCACGTAGAGACGAAAACAGGTGCCCCCGTGGAGTCCCCACCCCCCTTCCCTGTTGGGTATTGACTAGCGCGCAAGGCCTTTGAAGTTCAATGATAGGGTAAAAAGAAAGAAACTGCAAAATAGAAACGGGAGTTTTATGTCCATCTATGTACCACTAGGAATACGAGTATCTGGTAAAGTACAACACATTTCGCACTAGCACCTTTCGCACGCTACCGCTACTCTTGTTGGCGCCACCCTAGGCAGCAATGGACCATACACCATACACCATTTGAACTAGGTCTGGGTACAAGGTGACACTAACCATTCCATGATTCAAGGCAATCATTCCCCGCCGGTGAGACCGCGCCGTGTGATGTACCCTTGCCCAGTAATCTTGCAACACCCCCTCTCATATTTTACGACCTACATTCTTGAAATACATGCTGACGGGATTCGTCTATCGTAAAAAACATGAGAGTACACAACACCTAACGACTTAATGGACAAGAAGCAACAATCGGCATCCCCCATGGACTACTGATGCTACCACACCGTTCTACCCACAACCCGCTACATGTGCGTGATGCGCAATTTACCGAACTGATCGAACGACCTCGCTGCAGAAGCAGCGACCGCAAGTCCACACTTCCTTACGGCAGGCATGCAGACGTTCGTGGGGGTGTTCGGTGGCACTTGAGACTGCCACGCTGCATGTATGTGTTGCGGTTGATTTTTACATTGCCCAACTCGTTGATCAAGGTGATGTTAAAAGTGAATGTGTCGAACCCCATGCCGCTGACGCTGGGTAGGTGCTAGGTCTTCTTCGAGTGGTTTTGTTCGTGAACGTTGCAGTTGACACCCGTGAGCTGCGGGCACCGGAACACTCCGCCATACTTCATTTGGCAGGGCCCTTAGTGGTTGCCCTCGTGCGGCCCGTCTGGGCCTAGCCAAAGACCTACTCGTTGGCCGTCGTAGAAGTGCCCGAATTCACCAAACGAACGTTCCCGCTTGAAGTTGAAGGAGACCCCGTGGCCAGGTAGCTTTCCATCCTTGTCCAACTCCCCCCCCAGAGAGTCGCTAGAAAGCGCCATGTGCAACGCTTTGACGGAGTGTTCGGCCACACCAAAACCGACCCTTGCCTGGACTAAACGGCCTGTTTTAATGGTATTGGGAAACACACCGGAACACGGGGGAATAAAAAGAGTTTGATGAGTGTTTACGGAACCATGTGTGTGCATTCACAGAGCAACGTAAGGTTGTGGGCTGACTTTCCCGGGGGTGGGCGGTAGGGGGGGCGGTACATTATTTTGAAAACGGGACAGAAAAGCGCCACTCCTACACACAAGGTACTTGGTGCCGCTAGCACATTGCAACGATCCGAAAGAAAAAAAACTTCGTTGACAATGATACGCTCTCTCACATGCGCGCTCGGATGTGTCGTGGTCCACCGCGTCGAGCGAGTCGGTGATGAACGTCACCTTCTTCTGCACAGGTGAGATCGAAAAACACACAAAGGTCGCCCGAACAGAGTGCAGGGACAGTGAGCACCAAGGTCGAGATAGAAATATCCTTACTTCGCGCCAAATAATGTAGTTTCAGTGTTCGAGATAAGGCTATTTCCCTCCAGTTGAGTTCATCTCCGTCGTAATCAATGTCTCACCTGGTGGAAAAGGTCGACGGCGTCCTCCAATTTTCTCAAAACCGGAGCAGCCTCGCCGACACCTTCCTCTATGTCATCTACCGCCCCGCCTGTTACTCCTTCCATTGATTGACTGTAGTACAGCACATCGTCTCCAAGAAACTCAGGCATGCACATCATTGTCAAGCCAGCGGCGTCCGTTGATCCAATTGCTACCCTCAGAGTTTCCATGAGGTGACCGGAGATATCGAGAAGCTCCTTGGTTGACACGTCGGCTATCTCGCGCTCTGGTGGCGTCTCGTCTGCCCCACCCCCCCGCTCCCTTCCCACCCCCTATGCCTCACCCACAGCAGACTCTCTCCCAGCTGCCTGTCGCCCAGCTGCCTGAAACCATAGCGAGAACACGAGTACAACCTCGAAGAGGTCGATAGCGTCCCATCCTTGATTGTGTAGAGAGGTGAGAGTGTTCTCCGCAAGCTCGCTGATGCGCTTAGGGGAAGACGACCAGTCGCTTGCCCCTGTCACATCGCCCTCAGCGTCAGGTGCAGCTCGAACTTGACGATCCTTCTCAACCATATCAGCATGGTGTCCAAGTAGAGTGCGGAAGTCGAGCTGCGTTTAAACGCCCGGTGAAGGCTCCGCGGCGGCATAGACCGCGTACACGTTATGAACGGGTTGGGCCCCCAATGCAGACGATGCGGTCGCAGATGGGAATCCCCCCGGCGGCACCTTCACAGAGTGCAGATCCGGAAAGTCGCGTGCACGGGCTCCGATGTGCTGCAGTCCTTTCAGGGAAACTTGACCTTCGGCGTTACGTGGCAGGGCGCCCCCTTCATCCAGCAGATCAGCATGATTCTTGTCCGCGATCGGTGGAAGCATGCATGGTATACCCGTGATCACCAGGCATGGTTGTACCTTGTTAGTGACGATAGGAAACACAGGAACAGCATGCCGCATGTAAGGAAACGTCATGCACGAACATACCACACATTTCTTCACGAGTGCCTAACACGTGCTCCAAGGCCTCGAGGGACGGGTCAACGACAGGGGAAAATAAATGTAGAAAACGTAGGCGCGTGGCAAACATCTCACCCCACGAGCCCCACGAACGCAACTTGAATATTCAACACCACATGAATCCCATGTACGGCGGAAGTGACGCAATATTTCGAATAAAAAACGTTCTTCCTACGATCTCACCTAAGTATCCGCCCGCGACGGGTGTGCTCATTGATCAACAAGGTGCTGTGACAGCAAATGACAAAAAACCAGCCAAAGGAAAAATATGGAGACCAACTTAGGCATTCGAACAATAGTCAACCCATAAAACACATCGCTGCAACCGTCCCCCCCCGTGGAAGTTGCATGGGGGGCTACCACGCTGTTTACCACACATTTAGTCTACACATGGCATCGCACTGTGCAACTTGAACACGGCATGCTCTCTCGGTATTTCGCGTCGGTTCATGGCATTTATGGTCTTGGCTGAAAGAGTACAATAGGTTACCAGGAGGTGCACCAACATGTCCACCGCGTCGGCTGGGCTCTCAGCCGTGATCTGGAAGACGTGCGCAACCATCACTCTATCACCCGTGAAGAGACCTTCTACTCCTCCTGCCGTTGACCCCGACGGTTTGCCGATAAACAGCTTCGAACATCGTTCGCCTTCGCCATCCGCACCAGCAGACTCCCAGAGCTTTTGGAGGCACTGGACAAGAAGCTCCTTCGTTGGATACCTAGTCAAGAGATGCGTTTTCGACAGTGAAGGTGGAGGTGCGAGACCATGTGTGAGGGAGAGAAATGATTACGTACAAAGCTCGCACCCGTAAACACGAGCATACGTCGCAAAAGAGGGCGTGTGCGATTGCTCCTCCAGAACTCACATGCTGATTCCCTTTCCATCGATGAAGCAGAGCCTGTAGATGTTCTCGAGGTCACTAACGGGCTTGTCGGAGAGGTCGGTAATGGCGCCGTCGCCGAGCGCGCGCATTAGCTCCCCCGCATCCCCATTTTCGGGGGATCCTACCGGCGCCATCCTTCCTCGGGCTGTTCGATACATCACGTTTGAAACGCGGTTGTGCGGTCCGAAGATTGGAGCCGCCTCCAGCACCCAGCGAAGGCGCGCGTTGAAACCCATCTTGGAAATTATGGACATCTTCAGCATCTCATTGTGGAGGTCTGCGTCCACATCTCTCTCCGCCCGAGCAATGTCAAACTGTTCCCTCGAAACGTCGTCCGTACAAATCTTCGCGCAACCATCGATACAGAATATCTCCCGCCAGCGTCCGCGCATGAAGCTCACGAACCCAAACGGCTGTACTAGGGCTTCGAAAGCAAAGTATGCTTGCTTGATCAGCGCGTGAAAGTTGTGGTCCTCGATGCTGCGAGAAGAGGGTACACGCGGTAGGCGCGGCAAGAGCGAATCGATTGGCAAAGTTAGCGACGGATAAACTGGGAGGAGATTTTGTGCGTCACACGTCAAACAGAAAACGAATTTGAGGTAGACGGTTGTAGCCAAAAACCTGAACCCCGTTCAAGGGTTGACCAAGAAACGTGCCCAAACCCAACTTTCTTCCCGATGCTATGCGGTGTCGAACAAGATGGGGAGCTGGCACTTAGCCGTTGAAAAAAGACGCGCATTGAATACATGAAATCGGCCTTCCGGCGATCAACAGGTGAATGTTGGACTCGAAATGCTGCATGATTCTTTACCATATCTCTTCCAAAACCTGTTGATCGATTTCCGCCCGACACGCCAAGGCCAGAACATATGTTGTGAGGCTAGCCCGAGCCTGTTCGGAAGAAACAATATTTCGCGTGCTCCCCAGATACACGTGTACCAGCACACAACACAATAACAGACTTTCCGTCGAATTGGTGAAAAACAAAACAAGATTTGGTGGAGGAAAACATTCCAAAACATGTTCCTTAGCCGTTAACCAGTCGCTGCAAGCAGGTGTAAAACGATCAGAATACCCGTGTGTTCTCTTTCATTCTCAAATATTTGTCGTGGCGATGGACAAGGTGGTCATAGTCGACCACGAGAAAAAACTGAACGCGGATTGATCATTTCTTGGTCCAGATATCGCTGTTTCAGTGGTGTGGACGAAATTGAGGGACGGTACCCTTGCGGTCGAGGGCAGCACAAGCCAAATACTCACATTCTTGGGCATTTTTTTATTTTTTCTCCCAAACGAACAGCTGGCCATGCTCTGCTAGTTGATAGACGCACATATTCAACGTCAAATCGGCCGTCCGGTCATGTGGGGCCGCATACGTGTCGCGTTGACTCATGGTCATTGATTGTTCTTGGGTGATAATATTCTTTTTCCAATTTTTCGGCCGACGTACCCAAGCTCAAAACTCAATTTTGAGGCCGGAACGTACCCTTTCGGCCGAAACCAAGTTTGCACGTGCTCTTCAGATACATGTGTACCAGCACACTAAAAAACAACAGGGCCTCAATGAAAAGCTGTTGACAAACAAAACAAGATTTGGTAGAGAAAACATTCGGAAATTGGCTTTACCCTTAAGCGGCCGTTGCAGCAGGAGTAAAACGACTACCCATCACAGGGTGTTAATTGTTTTCCTGAAAAGTTGTCGCGGTGATGGTCCACGGGGTCATAGACAACTACAACAGCAAACTAATAGCGGATTAAGCGTTTTTTGGTCCAGATATCGCCATTTGATTAGTGTGGGCGAAATATAGAAACCTTGCCGTTGCTGGCGAGGGTAGCACAAGCCAAGTTCGCACTTTCTTTGGCATTTATTATTTTTTCTCCCAAACGAACAGCTGGTGCTCTGCTAGTCTATAGACGCGCGAAGAAACCGTCAAACCGGCCCTTCGGTCATGTGGGGATGCATCGGTGTCGCGTTGCTTCATGAGTGTTGATTGTTTTTGGACGAACATTTTTGTCTTAGCATTTTTCGGCCGACGTACCCAAGCCCAAAACTCAATCTTGGGGCCGGAACGTACCCGTTCGGCCGAAACCAAGTTTGCACGTGCTCTCCAGATACATGTCTACAAACACAATCAC